TTTTAAGAGTTTTAAGAGTTTTTAAGAGTTTTAGTCAAATGCATTATAAAATAGTATAGATATAACAAAACGTATTTATAGTAAAATATATTTATAATAAAACATATTCAAAATATCATATTACAAACATATTAATAACATATTAAAAATTTATTAATAACCAAAAATTTAAAAAAAAATCATTTTTTTTTAATAGGCCCGGTCGGGACCGGTTATGGGACCGGGACCGGGACCGGTTGAGACAACCGGTTACTAATAACCTTGGCCGGTTACAAGGAAAATCACCGGGACCGGGACCGGGACCGGTTATGTCGGGACCGGTTACCGCCGGTTTTTGTCGCGATTAGGCCCGGTAGGGACCAGTTAAGGCCCGGCCCGGGATCGAATTTTAGCCACCTCTACTTCAAACTAACAGAAAAACTAGCCGATAGTCGGTTATAGATGAAAAACTAGACATATCATATATGATTATGTATATGATATACATGGTTAATCATATATGATCATGTGAATGATCAGGGCTGTCTCTGGGGGAGAGTGACAGGGGCGCATGTCCAGGACCTAAAAATATAAGGAGCCCAAAAATTTTCTTTTAAATACAATAGTAGTCTAAAATAATTTAATAAATTTAAAAAAAACCCAAAAAATTGTAGTTTACAATAAGGGACAAAAAGAATTAGTAGATAATAAGTGCCCAAAAATATATCAACTAATTACATTGGAAAAGAAAGAAAAAAAAAACTAATTGTCATTCATTATATGTTATTGTTTATTATTGACTCTCTAATTTTTTTTTATCTCCAAAAATGTCTAATAATATTGGCTATTGCTATTTATATATGCTTGACTGTTTTCGTGCTTCAACTATTTAACATTAAAATCATGTGCTTGTTATTGTTATATATTTTTATCAATTTCTGTTTCTATTGACTATTGCTATTTGGTTATGTTGTTCTAATTTTTTTTGTTGACTATTGTTATATATTTTTGCTTCTACATAAAATATTTTATTATTGTTTGTCAATCAATTTATTGTTCTTATAATTTATGATATGTTTCATGGTTTTATGATTAATAAATAAATTTTTTCTACTAATGTCTCTTATAATGTCATGTTTCATAAACTTTTAATCTTAACATCTTATTTTGATTGAGCAAAAAAAGAAGGAAAATAAAATTTAAATATTTTCATCAATTGTTTGATTTATGTATCTTTTATTGGGATTCCACCACACAACAAACTTCTATTTAAGTGCTCAAACAATCTTTTGTTGAGCTTACATATTATATGTTTAATTCATTATTTATTCTTATTGAATCTCAATGGATCATCTTTTCTTTCATATTCTTATTGATCCTCATTTGTCTACTTGTCTAGAAAACCTTGATACTCTTCTTTATTATTGATCTCTCATTGACCCTCACGATTACCTCATTCACACGAATTCTCTTTTTGTATCAAAATAACACATATTTCTTGTTATAAACTAAAAAAATTCTTAATTTTTATAAAAAAATTATCAACATAGTTTATATACTCTTGGTTTCAAATTACCTAATAAAAAGTATGTAAATTTAAGTACTCTTATATATATATATATATATATATAAGAGTATATATATATATATGATAAAGATAAATAAGATTTATTTTCTCGGTAAATTATTAACATTTCTTGTACTCAATTTTATACTAATGGAAAACATTTATTGAATTTTTTTTCGTACTTACCGAGGGTCACTAAAAAAAATTGACGATTCACTTTTTAGCGACATGTTTCCGCCACAAGTTATAGCGACGACATGTTATATATTTTTTCTAATGATAAATGAACTTTTAGCGACGACAAAAGTCGTTGTTAAAAGCTTTGTTTCTTGTCGTGGGCCTTGCTTTTACGTTCGTCCAGGGCCTAAAAAATGTCAGGAACAGACCTGTGAATGATATACATAGTTAATCATATATGATCATGCGTATGTTACATTGACAATATATCGATGTTTAATCATATATGATTAAGTTCGCTTAAAAGACTTTAATCATATATGATATTGAAACTTTTGGTATTTTTGTAAAATGTTTGACTTCTCGTATGACCTTTTCTCGCTAGCTGGTAGCTGATAAGTTAGCTGATGACTTATAAGCTAGCTAATAAACAAATCATGTTTGACAAAACTAGCTGATAAGAATGTAAAATGATTAAAAAGAAACGTATTGAAAAATTAATAGTTATTGTAAATAATTAATATATAATATTAATGTATAATATATAAATAAAATTAGTTAACAATTAACTATTCAATTTATATTAATTAATAATTTATTATGTATCTCTTACCGTTTCAATTAATTTATTTTAAAAAAGGTTATAAGATAACACTGTTTAATTGTCTATTTTGGATTTTTTTCTCTTATTTAAAATTAAAAAAAAAAGGTTTATTTAGCAAGTTATGGGGCATAACAAAATGATTTTTAGTTTAAGAAATTTGTGCTTTTTTCTAATTATTTTTTTAATGAAAAAACTATTAAATTTTCTCATTTTGAATGATCAAGTCTTTAAACTATTTGTTTGAATGAAAAAACCATTAAACTTTTTTTTTTTGAATGATAAAGCCTTTGAACTACTTTTTTTAATGAAAATATCATTAAACTTTCTCATTTTGAATAATTAAATCCCTAAACATTTGTTTTGAATAAATAAACCATCGAACTTCTAATAATTTGTTACCTATATCTTTGTTTTTAAAAGCTACATTTAACTGACTAGAAATGTTTTAAAGTACAAAACAAACATAAATTAGTTTTACCATTTTCAAACCCTACTCCATTAAAACAACAGCGGTAATGCTACCCCTCACCATT